CTTCCCTGTCCTCCTGATTCCCTGGTCCAGCTGGCAGGCTGACTGGGTGGCAGGATTATCTCCATTCCTGGTTCTTGTCCCTTGGCCTAGCAAAGGTCGTGAGTGGATGTTAGCATGAATGGCAACACAGGGGTAGTGTGTGGGCCCAGGTGAGGAACAAATCCTGCTACTGTTTCCTTTTAAATAAAAAGTCTAAATTCAATACTGCTGAGCACAGTGATGTTCATTGCAGAGAGAGAGGGGTGGTGTGAATCCAGAGATTACTGCATATGTGGTTGATTGCAATCTGATTGACACAGTGAATTTAAAGATGACATTAATACCCACACTTAGAACCAAAGTTTCACTGTATTTTACCATATGTCCCTGTTCTGGATCACTTCCACTATTCCTGCAGTTCTGTCATCTGGATTGTATATTCCATGCCTGTGTCTACTTCTGTTCAGTTTTGTGGGAGAAGTTAAGCTGAAACAGATCATCTGTTTCTTACTAAACTCTCATCAACAAGATTTATCAGTACTGTGGTCTGCCACAGGGATCAGAAATTAGGTGAGAGGCTTATGCTAGCATCATGAATGTGATTTTAGCAATCATCATGAAAATTCCCTCACATTTGGAAAAACTCTCAGTTATTGAAAAATGTTGTATTTTATATGTTCAGGAGGGGAGCTGTTAGATTTTTGAGGTGACAAAAGGTCAGACATGCAGAAAGGGAAAATATTTTTGTTCTTTCCTTGCAACTTTTGCAAATAAAGGCTGGTGCTGGTTTGGAAGCAGTGCAGCAACGGATGGGTTTAGTAAGGAAGATAAAACTACCATCACCACCTTTTCTCATCCCCAAATCTGTGCCTGGTGGTGTGGGAATAACCATGTGAAATGAAAGCAAGACTGAAGGAGGCAACCAAAGAACACACCAGGATTGATGAGACTGGCAGTATCAGTAGGATAATTATGATAAGGATGAACACCAGGGAACATAAGTCTCACTGCTACTTATTGCCTCCAAATGGCCACACAAGTGGCCATGAGTTTCAATGTCTTGAGTGCAGAGGAAGCTGAGGGAAGTGCAGCAGAGCTGTCGTGCAGACTGCCTTCCCCAAGGCTCTCATGAGGGCACTGCTACCATGCAGAGGCAGTTTTATATTGGGTACCAGTGCAAGAAAAGAGCAAGAGAAGGCCAGGAATTAGTATTGAAGAAGAATGAGAGAAAGTAGGTTAGCACACAGAAATCCTTGATGGTGATGGTGGTTTAATCTGCCAGTCTGATGGAATGGATGATGAACAGGAGCTTGGGTAAATTTTACAGATTTTCTATCTGTACTGAGGAGGACACTCTAACCTCCCACAGCTCTGTAGGCCATTAAACTGCACATAAATCAAGCCCCTAGCTTGACTCTAAATGCTCTAGCCAATCTGGGATCAGACATGATTTTGCCTACAATTTTTTTCTCGAATCTCTTGCAAACACATGAGGACAAATCCTGAAACTAAAAGCCAGGATGGTCACTCTCCTGTGCTTTCAGTGTTGTATGTATGCACAAAGAATAAGAGGAAGCTGCTGAGATAAAGTGCAGTTGATACATGGTATGAAAGCAGAGAAGCAACAGGTATGTGGGTAGAAACTTACAGAGTAATAGGAATTGCAATTATGTGACTGCAGTTTTAAAATTACAAGGGTGAAAATGAGGAAGGTGGAATAGAGTGGGAGTGATTTTCCCAGAAGGCTGTGTAATTATTCATGAGAGATGATGCTGTAAGAATAAATCATAACTATGTAGGAAGTTTTATCTGTAGGATCCTTGTCTCCCTGCTCACTGAAGTTGGAAGGTATGAGGCAACAATTACATAATTAAAGATGTGACCATAATGATTATGCAAAATGGAACCAACTTAGAGTTACAAGGTCATGTCAATCTTTGTTATTATTGAATTGAATATTTGAATGTATAAGAAAACTTCAACAACTGAAGGCATTCTAAAGGCCTGTTTGAAGAAAAAGAAGTTGGTTTCATGCAGGTAATTACTAAAATGGCAACAGAATCAAACAAGATCGAGAGTGAAAAAGAATTAACAAGTATATAAATTGCATTAATTTTACAAGTCACTAGCAACAAACAAAACTTGTAGTGCAAACAGACTATTTCTACAGACTTAAGTCAGTGGAAACTAGAAAAGTATATCAGATGAATATATTAATTTTTTTAGGATAAGGTGTCGTTATACATTTTCACAGGCATATAACTGGCTTAGTTTTCAGAGATGGCCATTTGCTTATGGCTTTGAAGTTGAACATTTGATAGGATTCATGTTGCCTAATTTAGTCACTGAATAATAGACATTCAATTTAAGCTAGTTGTTTTAGACTGGCTCTAGAATCTGAAGAGAAATTGCATCTTTAGTGAGAATGTACTTCCTTCTGTCTTGGATATCTCAGTCTCACCATGAGATAACTTGTACTCCAAAGATGCCTTTTCTTCTCCACTGCTTATAAAAGGATCTTAAGGTAACTGAGACTTGAATGATCTACTTTCAGGTGATTAAAGGCATGAAATAAACCCTGTACATCTTGTTATCTAACATAAGGCATCCACATTTGAGAACTGTAGCCATAATAGCTATTAGTAAGGCCATATCCAAACAGACTGTTGCAACTCATGCGCTGTACACTCCAAGGCTGGACAGTGCAGGCACAGACATGCTTAACTAGGTTGCAGACCATATTGGCAGTAAGCAAAGATGCAAACCCCACTTTTGGAGGGTGGCAGGCTGGAAGGACTTTGTGACCACCATTTCCCATGGTCCGCCAGAAATTACATCTTTCCTCTTGGTCCACCTGTATTACAACTTTGACTTGGATGAGTCACTTTGTCTTCAGGACCTTCTTGGGATTTGTCTATAAACATGGGTTTCTTTGATTGCAACATTTCCCTTTCCAGCCTCTGAACATCTTGTTTAATTGTCCTTTTCAAATTCTTAAGCTATCCAGCTCACACTCCAAAAGGCCTAGATTGAATTCAGAGGAAGCAGAGGTGAAAAAAGAAATGTGCCAACAGGATCTTTTTAACCTTATTCCAAAAAGCCTTCTTACTCTCCTTGCTTGAGACCATACAGCTGTCTGGGTAGGTACTTTCTCTTGCCCCCTTCCTTCTCAGTCTTTGTTCTTGGCACCAGAATCAATCAGCTTCTGACAAAGTGGTTACATAATTAAGCAATGGTGTGTTGGCAGGCAAATGGGAAGAGACAGTTAGACAAGAGAAGGGATGAGAATGTAACCAGCCCTGGAGGTGTCTGTGACAGGGATTCCTGCTTTCCTGGTACCTATTTGCTTCTGGGCTATATATTTGTGCTCTGCTCCAATGAACAGGGTGACAGGTGAGTATCCTCACATTCCTCCTGGGAGCATCAGCACAAACAGCTGGGCCAGAAGGAAGCTGTGGTGAAGAGGTTCATGTGGCTGTGACTGGGAGACATAACATCATCCAGAAGCAAGGTCTCGGGGTTGTCTTCTGGAATACATCCTGGTACCTTCCACTCTTCTTTCTGCTCCTGGCCTAGAAACTGGGATCTGCAACCAGCTTCTGAACTTCTGACCTCATTTGTGAGCTGGAAACAGCCATGATCCACACTGTTGGGCTCATGATCCCAAACAGTATGACAAAGTAACAGTTTTCTGTTGGACTCTGCATCCTTGGGAATTGCCATCAATTTGGAACTTGCTGTTGTTTTCAATTATTTTCTGGGAACCTAGAAAAGATCTTCCCTCCTTCTCTGTAGTTCTGTTGAAAACAAAGCCACTTTTTAGAACACTGAGCAGAAAAGACCAATGGAAAGTAAGGCTGAAGTCTTGTGAGTGTTTAGACCACAGTGTTGAGTGGTAATTTCCTTGCACAAAAATTCACCTTTGGTTGTTGCACCCCTCCTTAGATATGGCTGACCACATTGATGGTTTCACCATTTTACATTGTGATTGCAGATTCCTTTCACCTCATTCATTAAAATAACTGTGAGTCCATGTAGGCCATCTTTTATGCAATTTCATAACAAATATATAGAATTAATTATGACTCTTTAAATATATGTGAATTGCAATGGTTTTTGAAAAATGAAACTGCAACACTAAAATTACTTTGCTAAATGAGATGACTTATTATGTCTGGTGAAAAAAAAGAGTTCATTTAATTTTCCTGTCATTAAGAAAATACTATATGAAGGACTGCAAAATTTGCAGACCCATTATTTCTGGATAGTGGTAGCAAAGAGAAGTGCATTACATTTGCCTATAGATACCAGTGTGTTTTAGCACCCACATTTTGTTTCTTTTTTTAAAAAAAGCTATCAATTTAGATGACAAAGCAGAGCTGTGGGTTGCAGAAGACAAGCCTGGACACACCAGTGCCTTCAATTCACTGTTTCCATGTCTGCGTCCCTTGTTTGCTCTGTGGACTGGCTTCGGACAGACTGCTCTCCCGGATCATCCACAGGCTCTGCAGCTTTTGGTGGACTTTTCGTGGGCACTGGCATATTCCCAAGGGGAGCAGGCATGTTTTGTGTGGGTGTTGGCATGTTTTCGGGCCTTGCTGGCATATTTTCCATGGGTTTTGACATATTCCCAGTGGGTACTGGCACACTCTCGGGAGGTATTGGCACACTTTCTGTGCATATTGGCATCCTTTCTGGAAGTGTGGGCATGCTTTTGGTGGGCTTTGGCACATTCTGAGTGGGCGTTGTCATATTTTCAGTGGGTGCTGGCGTGTGTTCAGTGGGCATTGGTGTGCTTATGCTGGGCTGCTCACAGCAGTTCCCACCCGCTGACTGTGGGGTGAGAGGAGAAGGGAGTTCTGGCACCAGAGTGGCACTACATGTTTGAGTGTCACAGGTCTCTGGATTGCTGCTGTTGCTTGGGAGGGAATTCTCTGCCTTCTGGGATACCCTGAAAGCTTCAGCGAGCTCCTTCAGCATGCTCTTGTCACTCTCATGCAGCTCAGTGCTCGCCTGCTCAGAGGAGGAGGGGTTCATATCAACAGCATTTTGTTCTTCTTCTTCTTCTTCTTCTTCTTCTAAGATGCCATTTCCATTCACCTCTTCTGGGAACTGTGCTTGCTTTATTTTTTTGTACAATTCATTCCTCTCTTCCTGCAGAGCACGGCAAAGGTTCTCTAGCCTCTGGATTTTCAGCACAAAGCACTCATATTCCTTGGACCTCATGGCTTTCTGTGGGCAAAGATATCAGACAAAAGTGCAGACTCAGTTTGGGTGCATGCAATTCATTAGTGGAACTGGCAATTAGAAAACAATTTGAGATCTAAGCAGGACACTGCCAGGTAGTTGGCTTTCAGCAACTACTCTACAATAACGACGGTTTTTTGGACCAAAGATTCAAGAGGAATTTCATTCCTGTTACTGCAGTGTATTAGCATTCTCCATACATATTCAGCTCAATTTCACTCAAAAATATTTCAAGAAATGCCTGCAAATGATCTTAGAGATGTAAAAACACAGCGGTTGCCCATACAGAGAAACATCCCAAAGCCTGCCTGGACTTTTGATTGGTATGGGCATGAAATTGGAGGAAAACAAGCTGCATTATAATTTTTGTTTATTTTGCATCTGGGTTCTGTGAGAGCAGCCTGAATTGGAACATTTTCTGCTTCTACACCCAGCGAGGAAACAAGAGATACAGAAATCCATAGAAACAGAAATAGCAATAGCACAGAGCTACAAAGCTAACCAGGAAGACCTGGTCCAAGTTCAGCGTAAGTTTGGGGTGAAACTTCAGGCAGCCTCTTATCTTATTTGAATGAGTTCCAACATGCTTATGAACTTCCTTTGCAATGTCCCTGGGAGAGCACGTTTGAAACTATGGTGAGACACAGTACTTGCTTTTGACTCTTAGAGTTTGCCTACACAGGAAGTTAATGAAAGGCATGAATTTAAAGTTCATTAGCTAGAGCACATTAATTCCCTGGGTGGATGCTTTTATGCAGAAAGAAAGTAGCATGAAGTGAACTAATGCCAATTTGCTTCTATTGGAGAGCATTAACAATCACCCATTTTTAGAGCACTTAAAATTCACAGTTACATAATTCAGTTTCTCATGGACGTAGTGAATGTTTACAGAATCTAAAAGCCCTAGCACTTGGGATTGTCTTTTTCTATAAAGACATCTAATTATCAAGGTAGCTTGAAAAAAAAGACCCTTAGATTCAAGAACAAATTTTTCATTGACTTCTGGCAGTTTCAGGTTATCTTATCTACTAGTTAAATCGTTATGTGGGGAAAAGGATGCATCTTGAGACCAGAAAGACTGCTCACCTCTTCGATCATGTCCAGTAATGCTCTATTACAGTTCTCAAACCTGGATTTCCATGTAGCAGTATCCTTTTCCAGCTTCTTCATTTTCTTTGTCATCTGTGGAAGCAGGAAGAAAAGCTGAATCACAACAGAAATCCCATGCTGCAGATTAAATTAGGGCAGCCCTTTTATTCAAGTCTTTGCCTGCACTCGTAACGCTGCTACCAGCAGCTGTAGTGTCTGTGCTAAGCAATAATTTATATTTCGTTTTAAGTAGCTGCCATAGGACTTTCAGTCCCTAGTCTACAGTCCTGAAGTAGGACCAGTTGATTATAGCCAACTTCCAGCATACAAATTATCATAAAAACAAAAGGCAAAGAAATGGCAAATCATTCTGTTTGTCTCTTTACCAGACCACAGTGTTAGATTGCTGGAAATTTAAAGAAGAGCTTGCATCTCCTTAGCTAGCAATGCCAAGGAAGTTCCTTCTGGATTAGTCACCTTTATACTACCTCCAAAACACACCACTTGCCCTTTGGTTTTCTGCAGACATAACTCTCTGTGAAGAATGACTAGAGGCTGCTTGGAACAGGGCATGAGGATTTTGGGCCCTGGTGGCAAAGCAGATCATTGTTTAAATTACAAAAGCAAGTAAAACATATGTGTGTTTCATTTTTAACTCCCATTCATTATGGGAAATAAGCAACGCAGGTGCAAGGAAACAGTCCTTTGGGCTGTTCCACATGGTGGAAAGTTATGCATAGGCTTCAGCTCTGCCTGTTCACTCCAGTGGGAGAATATGTAGTCTGTGTCAAACTCTCTGTACTAGTGTCAGTCACCCAAGAAGTTCTGGGCACTCCTGGAGACATGGTGTGACAAATGTGGCTGCAGACTCCCCCTCTGGTATCTCTTAGAGATTTGTACCCAACCACCATGCTAGATTTTAGGTAAAAAGTTTATTCTTCCAGGCAGTTTCAGTTTTAACTGAAAAGGAGATTGAAATCTTCAGCTTGCAGTGCTGAAATCAAAGCTGCTGTCAGTTGTGGCTGAGTGTGCCACAAACCTTTTTTTGAATGTTGATGAGATTATTCTTCAACATGTGCAGAGATGGCCATATTTCAGATACAATTATTGCAATGAGAAATATCAAAATAAAAAGGAAAGTACCAATTACAGAGCTGAGGCATGGGATGCTACTCACTTTTTCCATCTCCTGTTTGAATGTGGCAAACACTTCATTGCTTTTGGTCAATGTTTTCTGAAATTCTTCAAATCTTTCAGAGTAGAGAGTGATCTGCATTAACAGAGAAAAAAAAGTAAATTTCAGAGTCTCCAGGACAGTGAACTTCTACTTTGGTAGAAGATAATAAAGTAAATATTGTGTTTGGATGTAGAAATTAACTTCTGTTTGGAGCCCATGAAGCACAAACATCAGGGAAGAGAAGCTCTATGCATCTTTTTACGGCTGCAAACTATAATGGTTCCTCTATTGCAGAAAGGCAAACTGAGTAAGAATAGAGAGACCCAGGCAAGTGATTTTTAGAAGACTTGGGAAGTCTTTCCCAATAGGATGCCCTGTTCTCCTGAATGTTTCAGCTATGGTGTCTCTACACAGGGTGCCCAGAAGCAAAATAATTCCCTCGGCATAGAGACATCTGAAAACATTTCCCTGGGCTTGCTCCCTGGCCCATCCCCCACCACTAAGCAAAGCCCACCCCTTCTGTTTCACATCGCTGTGATTCTGCACTGGATTCCTTCAAGCTGTATCCCTGCACCATGGCTTAGGCAAGCTGAGAGGGCACTTTGTCAGCTCAGTTTTGTAGCCTGGGTGTGGACTACAGCTGTGGGCAAGGCCAGCAAAGGCAGAGAAAGTAATCCCCAGCCAGTGTCTCCTGCCAGTTTCCCTTCACTTCATGAAGCAGAGCGGAAGAAAGATCAGTTGCAATATGCCAGCATTTCAGACTATAGGGCTCCATATTTTGCTGCCAGTTTATACCTGGCAGCCATGTGAAAGTTCATCTGTGGCTGTATTTTATCAGGAATACATATTTGTAATATCTAAAATCATTGGATGTTTTGGGGAGAACAAAAGTCCTAAAGCTCTGAGGTTATTTTTTTCTCTAATTGTTTTCTGCCTTTTCTGTTTTGGTTTTTTTTTTTTGTTTTGTTTTGGTTTTTTTTTGTTTTCTAGGTAGAAAAGCACTTTCAAAGCCCCAAAATCATGCAGGATGCTATCTAGAGAAAACATAGTTATCTGCTCTTTGGAAAAGAAGACCAGTGGAAACTCATTCACTTCCTTCTCATGCCGGAGCAGTGTTTAGGTGATGAGACATTTCATAGGTCCAGAATGAGAGCTCTCATTAGAAAAATTTGGTGCAACATGCAGTGGCTGAAGCAGGGTGGATGCAGAGCAATGGGAGGTTCAAGAGCAGCCCACAGTATTCTGATCTCTGGGTGGAGACTGGCTGCTCATTCCACACTGGCAGGGAACTGGCTAAATGATTAGCTAGAAGCTTTTCTATTGTGCACTGCCAGCTTACTCACCCCCTCCCCTGTTACTACTCTGCAGTTACTGAAATAAAGAAGATTTAGAAAATGTTGCTAATAGTGGGATGGGTTTAATTCTGATTTTGAAATCAGGTACGGTTATATTATGTATCATGTTCATTCAGGCTAGTTATGATGCCACTTGTCATAGCCATAAAAGCTGTGTACTGTGGATGTGTCCCAGCTAAATTTAATCTGGGTAGTTAGGGTTTCTGTGGCTGTGAATGGGGCACTGGCTGAAGCCCTTCCCCATCAAACTGGGTGAAGGCAGGGGAGGTTAATCCATGCAGAGCTCTCTGGCGCCAATATCAGAGCTAGCTGACATGGAGCTGGCATGTGTGTATTCATACAAGGCTGTAGCCAGAGCTCTAACCTAGGCATAAATAGAAACTCAGAGGGATTTGTTTTAGCAGCCAGAGTGCCACAGCCTAAGTGGGACACTGATACCACGTGAGACATTTGGAATACATGTCATAGCTCTAAGGTGAAATGCCTGAGCATCCCAAAGCCAGATGAGGGAGCAGGAGTGGGAGTCAGCAAACTGGGGCTCCTAGCCCAGAGCTGTTATCTTTAAAAAGTTCACCTCAATTCTGTCTCTGCTTTTCCCTTCCAATTTTTGCCTATCGTTTAATTAGATTAAAAGCCTTTCACATTTGAACAGGGTGAGCTCTGACCTCAGATGGGGACCTAAGCAGCTCCATAGCATCAAGAATAGCTTCTGCAATTTAAATTTGAATAATAAATGAATGTTTTCATAGTGGCTGGGAACAGGCTGTGAGAGCTGTTCCTCACTAGGAGCATGCACTTGTGCTCCTTGGTCGGGCAGACAAAGACTCCTTTGTGGCTTCCCACCACTCATCCAGTGCTCTGACAGCATGGGTGGGTAGAGCAGGCGCAGTGCTATTCTGAGTGCAAGGCTTTGGGGAGTGGGGGCATGCAGCATCCTAGGAAGCACAACCATGGTTTAGGTGTACCCCCTCAGCTGGTGCCAGATCCCCATCACCATCTAGAATGTCAGATTTGACTGTCTCAGGCACACTGTGCCACCCAGAGACAGGCTGGCATGAAGATGATGCCTCCAGTTCCTTCCGGCTCAAGGAAGCAGTGCATGTTCATCACCTCCTCTAAAATGGAATGCAATCTCACTGTGAGGGTTATATTATAGCTTCTGCCTATCTCACTGACCAATGTCTTCTCAGAATTCTATGCAGCTGTTCCTCTGTTAATCATAAAAAGTCTTGGTTTGGAAGGGACCTTAAAGACCATCGGTTCCAAATCCCCCTGCCATGGACAGGGACACCTTCCACTAGATCAGGTTGCTCAAAGTCCCATCCAGCCTGGCCTGGAACATTTCCAGGGATGGGACATAATATCTATTTGTTGTTTTGTGTTGTTTGCATCAAGGAGATCCTTATGCTCTTTCTGTTTTGCACTTGCACAGCACCATGCAGAAAGGCATGTGGGCCATGAGGGAGGCCCTTCAGTGCTACCATACTGGAAATAATAATAACAATGATACTAACAATGTTATTATTCCCAGTAATTCCAAATGGATGCTGATGTGTAAGTGACAGAGCTCTCACACTTGAGCAGCACACTTAACTGCATGTTGCATTTCAGCAAGTGAATTAATTTTTATCCACACAAATCTGCAAGGGGCACATATATTATCAATGTCTTTGCAGACTTGACTGGATTTTTCCAAAAACAATTTCGCTGTTTCAAATGTAAGCTTAATATATTTAGCTCTTATCAATACCTCCAGTTGCATTAAACTGACTACAGAGGTCTGCCTGCATAGAAAAAAATTTTCAGGTTGAACATAAGGGTTTAATTAAAACCACCCTGAGAAAATTTGGAGCAGGTTTGCAGTTGGGGCAGACCCAACTGGAGGCCTTTGAGGTTTGATTGCAGAACCTGTCAAACTGGTGTCGGCAGTAGTTTATATGAAGTTCTTCGGTGTGCTACCAGCTTATTTTAGTCTTTGAAAAAACATGTGAAGGACCAAACCCCTTTTAGCATGTTTCCAGGTTATCAGTTTGACACTAGCACTTCTTGACAGCTCAACAGGTAGCAATTCAAACATGTGCAAGGGCAAAGCTGGAACAACTTACTGGTACCATTAACTGTGAGCAAGGGCTAGGAGGGAGCTGTCTGATGGGTGAGGAGATGGGCAGCTGCAGAGGGGCTGAAGAACTGACACCACCCCCTCAAGGTTCTGCTAGGGGGGAATCTTTCTCACAGACAGGTCAGACAAGATAAATCTACATGACTGTTTCTGTAAGTTTAGGAAAATCTACCAATACCGCCTCTTTTTGATGTGAAAGTCCAGCATGTCATGTAGTGTTCTCACTCGTATTTAAAGCTGATTACTACTCTCAAAGTGTCGTATATACTCTCTGTTTTCTGGGTTTACTGCCTTTCACTCCAGCCTGACTCCTGGTGCAATTTTATCAAGAAATTTTATTTTACTGAAAATTTCAAATTACAACTAAATCCTAGAGAACCCTTTGTATAAGCTCTTAGTAAACAGAATTCCTGCTAACGTTAATGAAAATGATGCCTTCACACCCCAGTCCAGAAAAGCACATGGGCACATCAGCTCCAGTTTGGTGAACATGTTTCATGGTATGTGTGTAGCCCCTTTTAAATATTGAAAAAACTCAGTAAGGTTTCCCCAGGGCCTTCTCTTCTCCAGACTAAACAACCCACACATCACAGTATGATTTGCAGTATAGGCATTACCTTACAGTTGGCTTGAAAATAACCTGTTTCCTTTGCAATAGTCTAGGGGATGTAGAATGAGGCTAGAAGGAATACATAGAAAGTAGTTTGGATACTTTACCTGGAACATGCCTCATGGGTTAAAAACTGTGAAACAAAGGCACACCATGCAATCACCTCTCCTAAATCACCTGTGCCTGCAGGACAGTCTCTTGCTCCTTTAACATTTTGGCCTGGAGCTTCCATTCTGCAGCTTGGTTCAGGAGCTGTGTTTTGGACAACAGAGAGAAAATTGTTAGGTCCCTAGATTATCAGTTGAAAGTCCTCATCCTCTGGCTATCTGTGCTTCTGCCACTGGTACTGTGACATTCAGTTGAATGTAGTTAGAGGAGTTAGGCAAGACACAATATTTAGTATTATCCTGAGGTATGGGACAGGCCATTTGATTTCCAAAGGCATATTTGAATAGGAGTTCAAAACCTACTTGGAATTAAATGTGCAGTATAGTGGGTTCTAAAAAGAGTGGTATTTAACCATTTCTTCACCAGACTTCTAGAGAATGGTTACAGTGCTTTCAGGAACTTTCATTTCAGCACAGCTCTGTCCAAATTCCTGCTCTCCAGTGAATGCCAAACTTCCTTTCGCATTAATACTCAGGACTTAGCTTAGGGGTATGGTCACAGTCAGATATGCTCTGAAAATCTGAGAGCTTTCAGAAAGGAAGTGCATAGTCTAAGTGTCATACACTTACTGGTGTCTGTTATCTTTGGGGTCTATTTGCATTGACAAGTGGAGAATCCCAGCTCAGGCTGATAAATGTCTCACTTAGATCAAGGAGACAGCCCAGGCTGCAGATAGAGCAGATGTAGGGTCAGATGAGGCTGAATGAATTGTAGGAATGAGGTGTACAGAGACTTTTCCCGGCTACAGTTCTGAATCAGCACTTTCAATGTGTGTAGTAATATTTTAGCAATTGATTTAATCTGAAAGCAGGAAACATTTACTGAAGTGTTAAAGAAATGTGCCTGTTGCCTACCAAACACTTATAAAGTGTTTTACTGGTGAAATGTATTTTAGAAATAAGAATGCTAATGATAGCTTGAGAAATGAGATATAAAGAAGTTAGTTTACCACAGGACTTTGCTCTGTTGGATTAAATTGTACTATTTAAAATAGCACAGTTGGACTCTGAAAATATATTAAAAATAAAAGGACTGTGTAAATCAGTAATCCTACTCTTATACTGGAAGTGTAAGGTGAGTAGAACCACATGCAGCAAATATATTTGATCCCTAGTTAAAACTTTTTTTCTAACCTTTTTATTGGAAATAGCACATGCAAACTGCTTGAATACCACCTGGCAGAAGAGCTGAGGATGTCCCCTAAAATGCTGACTGCCTCCAGATGTTTGTGGCACAGAGACTATCTGAATTAGACTTTTTGCCTAGAAAAATACTTTTGGCCTTTTGATTTGGACCCACTAAGTTTTTGCCATCCACAATTTTCTGGACAAGTATGTTTTACAGCTCAAGTATGCATTGTATGAAGAAATGCCATGTTCTATTTGGTTTTTACCTGCCTTTTAATATATACTTTGAGAACTTAATTTGTTGTTTGTTTCAATGGAGATAAGTCAAATTCTTGGCTAAAATTTCAAATAAGTTGTGTCATAGCCAGTAAAAAGAGATGGTATAGGTAGGCCTGGGTTAGATGAGCCTCAGTTCATTCATTTATTTCCTTGGGAGAGGGTATGTTTTACACAAACAAAAAAATAATTTTTTTTAAAGTTTGGATGAAATATGGATTTTTAAGTTTCACCTTTCTTTGATATCTACTTGTTTAGGGTTTTTTAGGAATTGTAGGGTATCTGGTTTGAACGATTTAATGAAAAGTGCTTTGAAAACCTACAGAGTCACTCAGTCTCTAGGCCAGTCATTACTTCCAAGAACTGGGCTTTTATCTCTACTGCTTTAATCTCAGCTTGGGTCACCTTCATACCCAGTGTGAATGGAATAAAGAAAAGGTCCCACCTCCTGAGCCACGTCTTCTGCCACAGCATAACAGATGGACAGAAAAGGCAAAGAAAAGTTGCTTCTTTTGCCTGTTACTGAAATCCTTCTCTCTTATTGACCCACATAGCTTCTGCAGCCCTTAAAAATCCAAGAGTTAACAAACTCTTCTGTAATGGAAGCAAGCCACAGAGAGGCTTGCTCAAATTAGCATGCATTCTTATGCAACCTGAGGTCATCTGCAAACACCAAGCTGGGAGAAAACAAATCAGAAGAACTGATACATTTATTAATAGGCTATGAAGTGGTAACAAGGAGGCTGAAGTAAAAAGAAAGGAATAAATATTGCATGTGGTGTTTACAAAGCAGCACTTGAGTGAAGTGTGGTGATGTTACACTATATTATTAGAGCTATGATAGCTGCTGGAGGCTCAGACAGTCACATCATGTTCAGCACTAAAAAGACCAGTTCTCATTTCATTACATGCATCCAGGGACTGGCTTAGTGAAAATTAACTTTCCCTTTTTGCTGCCAGACTCTGTAAGTTCCAATTATGTAGAAATCTGATCAATACCTTGCAGTCATATATTTGAAAACCACAGTTACTGTAAATGGCAATTAATTGCACATCAAAGTTTGTATTCCAAGTGCTAAAAATGTATGGGATGGAGAGGAAGGCCAAGTAGTGCTGACCAGTTAAGTTACAGGATGATAGTAAAATTGCACCCTTAGGTCAAGTTGGCCCTTTGTGGAAGCCACACTGTATGAACCATTGCTGCTTATATAGGGAATTGCATTCTTTGATGCACATGTAGAGTGAAATGTGCAAGCAATGAGATGATCTGACTATTGAGATGTACAGAGGGTGCAGGAGGGGACATCTCTCCTTGTTTGAGGTAGAGAAGTTTTGTATAGGGGTAAGATTCCTCCATGGAAGAACTGCCTAGGAAGACATCAAAGTGAGCCTTCAAAGAGTAATCAAATAGATAAAAGAATACAATAAGTTTAATTTAAGAACATTTTCAAAATCCTGCAGCAAAAGTCATGCACAGGGATGTAGAAAATGCTATAGAGAGAAAGGTTCTGAGAGCCGTTCTGTCTTTGCGCATTACTGAGCTTGGAAAGAGTTACAGCTCAGTGAGAGAACTCTATCAAAAACACCTCGATGTCATACATACATGTATATACATTACTCCCACAGACACTAGCACAATAGCTGGGTAGGTGGGACTAAGAGCTCAGATTGAGGTGGGAGCCAAGTGTAGGCCAGCTCTCTGGGTGCTGGGCTACCTGTGATGAATCATGACATGCTTAATTGTTCCTTGACTCATTGCATGGCTTTGGGCCTGTCACTTAAGTTCTTAAGCTAAATCTACCTTCCTCTGAGGTGATGTTAGCCATGTATCGCCAGCCTACCTCAAAGACAGTGTTTTTAAGCATTAATTTGGACAGTGTGAAAAATATTTTTTGTACAATGTGCATGCCATTATACACCCACTGCTTAAAGGTTTTGTAGCTTCAAACCTGTTATTTCATAGGTGCTAGTCATACTCAAACACAGAATGAAAATCATCCTCTCCCAGCTGTAGGCAGTGATGACTTTCACTGCTTTAAAAGAAATGAAAAAACCAAAACTCTCCATACCAGTTCTGGATAACAAATACAAAGAAGTTTTGGCTAGGAACAGGGCCAAACACAGGCAACAAGTAGCCCAAAATCTCATATTCTGTGAGGCACAGCAATAAAGTTCATTGATGCAAGGCTATATGTCAGTCTTCCACAGAGCCAATGCCTGGTCTTTTACATATTCTGTTTTGAAGTTTTGATGGGTTTTTTTCCCCCCAATATCTGAAATCAGGTACTCAGTTGCAAAACTCCCAGCAATAGCAGTAAAGTAAACCCATATTTGCTTTGTCATTTTAAGTGATTTCTTGGAAATCCTTGTGCTTAGAGCCTCACATTTCCATCCATATTTTAAGATGCCCATTAGCTGTGCTTGTTCTAATACATCTGTTTCCATAAATGGGGAGGGGATAAATGTCCTCTATTTAAAGCTCTCTCATGACGCTCCTGAGTTAGCTGGAGGACTGGTGAAAACTAGAGCTTTCTTCCAGCTGATGAGCCTGTTGCTTCCCCTGAGTATTCTCAGCTGCTGCCACCGCTGAGAAGAGGGACCATGTGTCAGTGTTGAACTCCAGTCCTTTGTAGATGTGAGGATTGCTGTGAAAATACCAGGCAGCCTGAGTAAATTAATTTCAGTCTGATTGAGTCACAAAATTTGTGAGACCACAGATAGAGGAGTGTCGTCCTTCCATCCCAGCTGTACCTATGGGGGACATTCCTCCTGGACCTGCTCTTCTCTGGTCCCTCTGGGTTCTCTGTACCCCTGCTAGAAATGTCCCCTCCTCTAGATAGGGAGGAAGAGCAGACAAGGCTGGTAACTGGATCCACACCCTTCCTGATTGAAAGAAGCACTACCAGACCAATGTAGGGAGGGGAACAGAAAAGGGGAGACTCAGTCACACCAAGTGGCTCCTGTGGACTCCTCCACTAGCAAAACTGGACCCACAGGAAGATGCCTGAGGAGGCTCTGAGGTTGGGGGAATAGCAGCCTCTAGCCATCTCATTTTCATCCCGTGTTCTTATACTCCTCTCTGATTGTTTAGATATGCACATTTATCATGTGAGGAGATGGAGTATCAAATACCAGAACTGTTTGAAATCTAATGGCATCACCTGACCCAACATCACAATGAATCAACTACATAATAACAGTGAGTTATCTTGAGCAGCCTGTGCTCTAACCTACCCCTCTGCAGTTTGCTTCTAAAACTGTAAATGCCAATGGAAGCAGCCTTTCAGAGACTGTTCCTTTGCATCAAGCCCTGATGGTGGCTATAAAACTTCTCTGCTACTGTATCCCAGATTGGACCTGAAGAGCCAATATGTTAATGAAATAGCATGCAGAGCTTGTTTTGGCCTGAAGTTAGATAAAAGACAGACAGATTAGAAGGATAGGTACATATTCCTTTTCTTTCTGATGTCGCTCCTCAGCTTCCTTCATCATTTCCTGAGACTGTTCCAACTTGGCATCCACCAGTTTCTGTTGAAGTTCTCTGTGCTTAAATATTTTATCAAGGTGCTGTAAGAAAATAAATTCTGTTGAACGCGCAGGCTTAGTTATCTACATAGACCTTCATGCTCGTGCATGTACAGCTACTTACTGGAACACTCATAAGACAAAAATATTGCAAAACAGGAAGACACCCAACCTATTGCAATTAATAAAAAAATACAGCACTGATAAGAACAAATTGTGCCAGAATTTGCATGGGAAGGGAAACCAGTTTATGTTATCAATTTTGATTTATTGTAGGAGAAGAAAAAAGCCTTATCATCTTTGCCAGTTGCATGGTCTACATATAAAGTCATCAGTATAATCCAATATAACTGAAGATCAGATAATTGCTCATTGATACACTCTTTTTGTTAAATGGCCAGTGGATCTAAGCCACTGTATGGATAAATGTATAAAGACACATTGCCCCTGCAGTACCTGGGAGCATGTGCCATTCTCTATGTAAACACAAGCCCAGTACATCCCCTTTGCTCTGGCCACACATGCTCAATGTGGGCTTGGAGGGCCTGTGTGAAAGTCTGTCAGTGGGGAACTGAAGATCAGACCAGATGAACCAGAAGCCTCTTCTAGCCTGTAAAATATCTGGCTCTATTGTGACCTTCGGGAGGTAAATGTTGCTGATAGCCCTCTTCACTCTTAATTAATTTAGATAAAATTCATAGGAGCAAATATTATGAGTGTGTCCCTGTGGTTTATATTTTCTTCCTATAGAAACCACAAGACAGGACTGTACATTTTCATTCATTCAGCATAAAACAGGAATGTACATTTCCTTCATTCAGCATAAGACTTCATACATGATTCAAGAGATTTGGAAATGCAGGTATTGTATCAGCCATTCCAGATTGTAAAAACAGATTACTTATGTTTTATTCAGTATGATAATTTTGTCTGATTGCACTGAGGCTCACAGTAAACATATTTAGAAACAATAAAAAGACCCTTTGTGATATTTGTTAGCATTTGTCATTAAAAAAAAATGTTAGTTTGGGATTTTACTGGAGGGGTTTTTTTTGTGTCAGAATTTTCTGACCAATTCCAATGTTTGCAGAAAGAATAATTTCCCATCTGTCTATTATCTTCTAGATCTTATGGTGAGAATTGTGCCAGCACAAAAAAAGAATCTATTCCAATTCAAAGGGCCTTTAGCTGTCGTCTTAATTTTCTGCTTTTGGGGAAGAGTCAAAGCATTTACATCAGAACCCTTCTCAGCAACCTGTTTCTGAAAGGAACAAAATATATTTGATGTCACCAGCAGAACAGGCTGTCCAAAAAAATAGGAGCTGGGACATGCTCGGTGGGAGCTTGGTGTGAAGGAGGAAAGGGGCACTGGGGGAGGTCCCTGGGGATTTGGGGGAGCTGGGGGGGGCTGGGACAGCTTAGCAGGCAGCTGGCAGCAGGCAGCTGGCACCCCTTGCTGCTTGGGTCTGCTCAGCCTCTCCCTGCAGTGGCAGTGCTGCTGTGGGTGTCCCGGGCAGTGTGGTGTCCCACGCAAACCTGCGCCCACAGAGTCCGGAGAGCTTGCTGCAGGCACGGTCCTGCTCAGAGGGCAAAGTATGGTAGGAGGAGAGGCTGCTGGCATTGCTTTCTACTCTCCCCAGGGCAGCCTGTCCCTGCCAGCAGCAGGGGCATTGCTCTCACCTCTTCCCGCAGCTCGTACTGGTCGATGATGCTCTTCAGCTTCTCTGCCAGCTCTGTGTTCTCCTGGCAGAGCTTCATGTTCCTCTCACTTTGCTGCTCAATCTGAGCCTGGATTTCACTCAGTGTGCCCTGGAAGTGATTAGTTATTTCTTTCCTCTTCTCATCTTCCTCCCGTGCCCGCTGAATTGTTTCCTCCTGTTGTTAAATTGGAGAGAACACAGTAAGTAAGAGGTATAATAAGCAGCTCCAGAAAGATACTGTTTCAGAGTAGCATAAGGCTTCTCTTTGAAGGATTATATGTGTTTGCATTCCTCTTTGGAGATTTTCATGCTTTCATCTGCTCCAGCATTAGGCATGATTTTAAATTTACAGAGCAAATTACACAGTGGCCTTGAAAAAATTAGGGAACTAAGAATTTGCATTTATAAAGATGGATGTAGAACAGAGCTTCAGATCAAAGCAAGCCTGAAGGAGAGGACATACATGCATGTCTTGATTCCTGATACTGCAGCACAGCTTTTGCTTTGGAAGAAAATATTTAGTGGAAGCAGTCAAAAGCTCTTTTATCAAAATTCTCTTTGATTGAATTACAAAAATCACCCTTCAAAATGCCTCCTTTTAACTAGGAATCTTCATATCAAATTTATGGCCTTTGGGATTTTAATTTTTAAGAGAAATCCATCACTGGTTGAAAAATCCATTCCAATTCCTCAATTTTCCTTCCCTAACTTTGTAACTGACATGAACATTTGCACAATTTATTAGCCAGTGGAATCAAGGAAAGCTCGTGGGCTGTTTCTTACAGAATCAAACAACAGAATCAGAATATTTTTTTACCTATTATTGAAATCTTGGGTTTGATTTGTTTATGCAAAAGACAATGCAGAAAGAATCTGGTTTCATTGCTTTGGATCCTGAAATATGGACTATTTTTATTCTATACTCATTTGTTTCCAGGACAATCTGCCCTTCTGGGGAATGTAATCCTGATCTAGAGTGGCTAGGACCATATCTGCTGTAGTTACAAATCATGCCAGGACCAAGTTAAGAGCCCGCTCTACAGCATGCAAAGGGCATACTCTAATAAGGTTTCAACTAGCATAGTCATTTACATAAAAATCTCTGATAACACTGCATATGGATACTTTCTATAAAGCCTTAACTGACTCTAATAAGGTTGAGTTTGTATCATAAATGTGACATAAAAGGTGTTGATTCAGGCCCTACTCTTACAGTAAGATGAATACCAAATGACCCAATATCTACTTAGCATGCACAACACCAGCCTGATCTAGGACAACTGCTGTTCAGGGTTGGGCATGTGTTGTCCTTTTGCTGAGCAGGGAATGATAGAGATGACAGTGTCTTGGATAGCAGGAGAAAAGCACTGGAGACATGAAAGCACTGTGAAGCCTTGCTGTGCTCTGCAGGTTGCACAAGAACACATGTGTATTCAGAGTAAAACAGAGTGTGAACCCAGAAGGACTCTTCCTCTTAAGAGGAAGAAAGAATTTCAGGTGGATCTGGGCAAATGACTTGGGGGTGGGGTCCTGGTTCAGTACCTGGGTTGGAAATGGAACACATGGAGAATTTGCAGCAAGATGAAAAAGAAGCTCTCAAATTATTTTTTTATTGATGAGAATGATTTTGAAATGTTTTGTTGACCAACAGTTGAGCTGTGTTCCGTTTGTAGTTACTTTGTATTTAAATCCTTTTAGTAGAAGAATGCTGTTCCAAAGTAGAATTAAAAATGCTGCACAGAAGGTGTTTTAAATCTACTCTTTTAGCATTCCCAAAAGGAAACATTTAACTTTCTTTTGAAAGGGGATGTTTACAAACAATGTCATCCTTATTTTTTGTTTGAAACTTTGCCAAATTTAACTTGAATTTCTAGACAGTTTTGGTCGAGTCAGAACTCCATTTTACCTCTAATAAACTGTTCAAAAAACTCCTCATGCGCCTTATTTCTCCATTATATATGTGCAGCCCAGAGTAGGGAGAAGAGTGACCAGGTGCTGTCAATTCCAGAAGTCAGAGTGAGAAATTGAACTTGCATGTCTGGAGTCCTGTTTCTATGGCTTCAATACACCCTTGCTCAAAAATACTTCATTGTTTCAGTGGACCAGATAGTGTTATAACATGTCACTGCCGTGATTGAAAGCTCTCTGGGGTAATAAATCCAGATGAATGTAAAACAAAAAAAAAGGCAGATTGTGCATATGTCACACCAAACAGTTCAGCTACAAGGTGAAATGAGACATCCTGAGAATAGCAATCATGCAAATATAGAAAACCTAACCCTCTGTGCATCTGTTACTCAGAGGATCTTGTTTTCTGCTCTTCTGAGGTAGAATAATTATACAACACAGAGCACAGAGACAATACAAAGATTCATGGTTAAAGACACTGAGCCAGCAAGCATTTAGTTACAGGACACAGTATTCACAGGTCACTCTGTATTCTCAGTATTTCTCTTCTGCTCAGGTGAAAAATATATTTGAGGAGGATATTTGCTTGGGGAGGGAGGCTGGTGTGTGTGTCCTGGAGAGCTCCTCAGAGTCCCTCATTTGTCACATCTTTGATATCCCAGTCATAAATGAAGGCTGGGTGTGAGTAAGAGGAGCTGGCTGAGCAGGACAACTGTGTGGCTATGGCACTGCATGGAGACTGTCAGGGATTACCTCTTCCCTGTGCCAAGGACCAAAAGCCTCCATGCTCAGTGCTCTCCCATGCGTGGAGCTGGCTGCAACACTACCAGAGGCTTCAATCTCACAGCCTTCTAGGTGCTACTGATAATACTCTGGGAATGGTGATGGAACTTTGGAGGCGTCTGCTTTAAACCTGAGCTTTGACTAGCCCATAGCTGAGGCTGCATCTGCAGCCAGGGAGAGGGCTGGATGCCCATGGTGCCAGCAGCAGAGCCCTGCGTGCCTCCCAGCTCTGTGCCAGGGCTATGGGGCCAGCACACATCACCTGGGCAGGAAGAGCCTGGCAAATCCCAAATCATCATCACCCAGGTTTTGTGATCACAAGGCTACAGCTGCAGCTCTGCTTACACCTGAGAAAATGCATGTTTTTCCAATATGTTTCTCAGTGTTTCCCATTTCAAGACATCACAGTGTAAAGCAAAATCCTGAAGTTTTCTCCCAAACTGAAGTCTTGAAGACTGATTACTGTTTTGTGCTACTACTGTTGTAGCTGAAGTAGCTGTGGAGACCCGAACTCCTGGCTTGCTCGGTTGTAGGGGGAGGAGCAGAGGGTATTTGGGATGGTGACTTCTCAGCATCATCATGGTTAATCCCAACATGCATACAGTGCTTGGCCTTGCCAGCTGCTTTACTCTGTGCTCATTATTTTGATAGTTTTTAATCAAGTGTTCAATTTTAGTGAGAAAAATAAAGCATCATAAATTCTTTTTAGACTTCTGTTTGTGGAAAACTGAAGTCCAGCCATAAACTATTGCTCCCTTTTCTCTGTCCTTTCTTAATCTTTGCACTCCATGTCTACCTTTTCAATGTTATTCTTGTGTACTGCTGCAATGCTGCTTTTGCTCTCATGTTTTCTGCTAAAAAATGCATTGAATAAAGCTTTGTAAAATTCAGACAAGGATATTTTGTAGCTTGGTATTTAGCACAGTAACGTGAGATAATTTGCAAACAGAAGAGCGTGGGTGTCTCTGGAATTGTCCTTGTGCCTCTCTGAGGCAGCTCAAGAAGACTGTTGGTCTGCTGAAGTCATAGCAGCCAAGACGATATGATTGTGGAATCCTTTATTCAATGAACACTTCATTCCCAGGCACCACGTTCTGAGCCAATTTGGAGCTGAGCCCATAATCGAAGCTGTTGACTTTTGTGACATTTGTATGAAAGTTATTGCTTAATGCCTGGTGGCAGGAAGGACAAGGGACCTGAGATGTTCTTGTCACTACAAGATGTTAAGTAGCTAGCAAACTGTCAGATAATTGGCAGAACATGAACTCCATGCAGAGAAATGAGTTGCTGTTGGTCTTAGCAGAGCTACTCTCTACTGCAGTGGGAACACATTCTGCTATTTCATGAACATTTATTCTGCTTTTCTTGGAGGGAGAATTAAACATCTGTGTAACTGTAAGGAAATAATCAGAATAGCTGGTCTGTATGTAAGTGAGAATTTGAGGCTGGTATCCAATACTACCAGAAATTTTTCTTCTCTGATCTGCCCTGTGGATTTTCAATGCAGTTCTGCATTGCATATTCATCACCACTTGGCTGCACGGATCTCCAGTTAATGGGAATTCCACACACCAGATGAGTGAAAATGACATTTACATGACGTGATGTGCATATAATGTACCACATGGTAAATCAGAGGAGGTTCATGATCTGGGCAGACCTTTGCTATTGAAATGATGCAATCTCCTATGGTTTTTATTTTCCATGATTTGGAACTTAATCAGAAATGCTGATCCTAAGTGCTAAAAAATTATGAATCAGCTTCTCTGCCCTGCCAAAACCAAAATAAAACTACTTAAGCATGAGATTTAAGAAATAACATTTGATGGGTTTTCCTGGTTTGGGCCGTCTCAGTACAGTCATAAGGCAAAAGAAACTTGCACTCATTTAAATAAATAGAACATGAGTTTCTGGAGATTCACAGATCTCCAGGAGCTAAAGCTTAAAGGCAAATATTCCAAGAACTATGCTAAAATTCCTAGAGAGACAAAACTGGATAAAGACAATGAATGACTTTGTTTATTAATTTAATTCTCATTCATTTGCAAGTGTCTTATTACTGTCTTATTTATCTTTGGTTTTTCTACACTGAAAGCACAGGGACCAGGGGAAAGATAGTGTTCTGGGTTTCTAAAAAGATCTCCAAATTCTTAGAAAGAAGTAACCAAAATTTGAACACATCTTCCTGCTCCCAGATCAGCTCAGGTACCTTTCCTGGCTCACCTGGCATAGGTACAGGATAAAATCAGAACTGAGTCTGAAATTGATAGGTTTATTTAGAGAACCTAGTCAGAAATAAAACAGTCCAATAAATAGAAAGATGTTGGAAATAGACTTTCCCAAATCTAAAGATGAAATGTGTAGTGAAGTGTTTACATACGAAGAGAAAGGAAAAATCATGCTCTCTAGTAGTGAGATTAATAAGCATAAAGTAGCTGGGAAATTGTGTGAGGAATTCAATAAAATTTGTTCCAAATCTGTTTTCCAAATAGAATAAGTTTTTTTCTATATGCTAGTCTCCACTGATTTCTTCCACTGATGCGATTTGTTGAGAAATCTCAGTTAAGGCTATGCAAAGCACTGTACACTGTACTCTTAGTTCACTTTAAAACTGACTTGTATTTCTGCTGAAAGATTTTGCCCACAGATGGTCAAGTGTGGATCAATGTAGAAGGTATAGCTCAGGTCTGGTACAAATAACAGACACAAATTTAATTTTTCACTACGACTTCTGCGCTACTATAACTGAGCACATAAAATTTTTGCTTCTAATTTCCCTATCTGTTAAACTGCTTTTATGTGTGACCATTCCCCCTCCCAGCTGTATTCTTACCAGTGTACAATGACAGTCAGAGCTAGACCCTGAAGGCCCACTCCTGAGCTGGTGGAAATGAATGAAAATCCATTACAGTTAATAGAGATTATATCAGGTGGAATTCTTGCTCCTGATGATTCATATGTGTAATTCTATACATAACTATATCCCCATAAAGAAGGGGTTTGAATAGATCAAAGCAGAGGCTTTTTGTATAATAATACCACCACCATCACTAATATGTACTCAGAAAAAAAAAGGATGAGCACAACAGAAATATACTTCTTGAACCTACATTATTTTTCAAGAAGCATAATCATATTATAAATTTCACATTTAAATGGCGTGATGCACCAAGCAATAGGCAGACATGACATATAGATTCCAGCCTTTTGACACTCCTGAAAAATTCTTCTTTGAACTGATTCTTGTAATCCAAATGACTGCCACAAATAATGTTGGCATTCTTCCTGTCTTGACATTTGATGTCTTGAGGCATGAGTCCTGATTGACTGACCCTCACAAAACGCTTGAAAAAGCCCAAGTGCTCAGATTACATGAGAACACCCACCAGCCTCTGTGAGTCCACTGAGACAAAGCTGGAGCTCCTGTTTTTCTGTCCATGCACATGCATTCACATTGGCAGTCTCGGGGACCTGGTCTGTTCTGTTAGCACCACTGCTTTTCTCTGTGCTCAGCTTCCTGATCATGCAATTAGGGCTTACAGGTAGTGTGGCAAACCCAATGTTCAAAAGTGCTTGGATATTTCCAAATGAGAAGTAAATGGTCTTGGTGTAAATGGACCTCAAGACTAGAGTATATATATAATTATATATTGCACATGCAGATGCAAACATCTCTTTGATTTGGTACTAGAGAAGATGGAAAGGTATCAGCATCTTCTTCCCCTACACTGCTGGGTACCTCGATAAGGCCTCCACTCACCTTGAGGTTTTTGTTGTGCCTCTGGAGCTCCCTGCACAGGCTTTCGAGCTTGCTGCGGGCGAGAATGGCTCGGCTGTGCTCACTCTGCAGCTGGTCCTTCTCCTTGGTGATCTGGGCCTGTCTCTTCTGTAGGTATTTCAGCTTTTTCTGCTCAGCACGATGTTCTTCCAGCTGGGCAGGAAACAGGGATTAAAATGAAAAAAAGAGGGGCAGAAAACAAAATTAGATCTTTTGGTTTGGAGAAAGTCTTCACACTTTCTTAACCTCTTAGGAAATGTTTTGTATTTATCAGTGCTAAGGGGAGAGGACAGAAGGACCTGGTGAGATTCCCAAGCCTGTTCACCGCAACAGTTCCAAGTGTGCTGTAGTGTGACTAGGTGAACATAACACTCTTGTCACACCATTTCAGCCTTTCTTTCTTTGGTTTGAGTTTCCCTGAAGGACATTGTTAGGTTTTTGTTTTGTCATTAGCAACTAGAGCATTCAGTAGTGCTTTATGTGGTGAGGTTTCTCCAGATCATGAAATAACACAGTAGTGGCTCATTCTATTTTACAGTTTTCTGAATAAGAAGCAGCTTCCTAAACACCTAGGAACCTGCTGGAAAAAAACAGCAAATTGATCCTGGAGGCCAGAGATGCTGTCTGTGTGGGGGCTTTGATGCTGATGGAGGAGAATTCTCTTCAGGGAAGAGTTTCCCAAAATGATGTGTGGACACCTCCTCTTGCCAGGCTCCTCTTGCTCACAGGAGCACATGGGAGTGTCTATCATTTGTGTTTCGGGAGGCCATGTCATGAATGGGGGTGGAGTATAGGGAATCCAACCTCTTTTGGGTTCTTTATCTCCATATAATTACTGAAGAAAACATGGACAGTCCCTGATGTTCACTTGGGAACTTGCTGTTCCTGCAAGTGCATGGCTCCTACCTTCCCTAGAGGGCTGGTGGGGGGAATGAGGACCAGCAACAGAATTGCTAATAGCAGTCCCCACACACTCTGGTCATTTCTTCTGACACATGCCTATTACGGGCTGTTTTGAAAAGATTTCCTGTACTGTGCATTAACACCTTAACAGTCAGGTCAAAGAAGCATTTCACCTCTGAAGCTTTTAATTATTTCATCTCACATTCCAGCACACAACAGCCCTCCTCACTGCGTTACTGTGTGTGAATACATTGCAAGAATTTCTGAAGTCCAGATGTTTTCTGATTGAAAAAACAGTAGCACATTAGCTGTAATATGCAAACCTTAATAACAGCTGCTATTAATACTACATTATCTAATAATATGGTACCACTAGTATTAATTATTAACCCCAGTATGACTGGGAAAGTCTGTGAGCACAGGGGAATGATGTGCAGCTCAAACAAGACAGTCGACGAGCATCATATCTTACACTTTCTCTGCCTGAGGATCTGTTTCCTACAGGTGTTCCCTAATTTATGCTTACAGTAGAGAGGTCTGTGTATTATTAATCAATTCACAGCTAACCATGCCACATTCAGCAGGTTGGAGTATATTTGCAGTTTATGTCCAACTTTCAGCAAGTGCATTGTGCATTTTTACCCCCACAGATCAGAATTGGGGCTTTTGCATTTAATCAAGCTGCATCAGCTAAAATAATAATTTTTTCTAGGGAAAAAAAAGTCTTTCTGTAATTAAGGCTGAAATTTGTTTTCCTTTTAAGCTTGATTTTGGCCCTGTCCCCTTTACTTTGCAAAACATAAAAAATACTCATTTTGCATGTGCAGCCTGTGCTTAGTGTATACTGATTAACCAAATTTCATGTGATTCACTCAAACTGTGCTTGAGATAGGGGGATTTGAATAAAATATGTCTTTATCATGACATGAGAAGTCTTTCAAGCATATTTTTCTCTCTCTTTTTTTTTTTTTTCTTCATTGAAATGACTTGCACCAGAAACTTGTATCTCAAAGTTCTCAGGCATGTCTAAGATATGGTGTTACTTTTGCTTTGAAAAAGGGAATTCACAGATAAATAGGAATGGCAAAAGGGCTGCTAATGAAAAATGTTAAAGAATAATTAATTAATATTTAATTGATAATAATAAAGAATAATTAATAGGCTAAAATTAACTGCAAATAGAAGCAATTATGATTTTGGAATGCTGGCCTAGAGAAGTAAGCAGTCAATTTAGGAAAAAGTTTAATCTTGATCTACCGCAGACAATGACAACACTAATATTTATTTACTAGCATATAGTTCTTGCACTCAGTACTTGTGAGACCTCTTCCTTTACCAGCCCATGCTCTTCCCTGATGCCTTCCACTGTGTACCCACAGTCACTACAGAATATGCCAGAGCATGTGCTGGCAGGTAAATAACATATGAGTGGATGTGGGAAAGGGTTGATGCTGCATTGGGTTCCCAAGCACCAGGAACCTCTTAAGCCACAGCCAGCCCCAGCACTGCCTAAAGCAGGTGAAGCCACTGCCAGCACCCAGCTCAGTCTGACACACGGCTGCACCTTCCAGTAAGCTGTGCTGCAGCAAGTGTTTGTGTCACCACATGGCTCACCAGACCAGGGAGATGATCTGGCTGGAAAACAACTCAGCAAAAGCAAGAAGCGACCCAAAGTGTGTGATGGGGATGGACAAGAAGGAGCAGGGACAGCAGTAACTACTGCAGCCAGCTGCTGACAAGCTATTAATCACACTACACCCCTCAGCCATGCTGAGTGAGCAGTGATTGGCTTTGCCCAACAAGCTTTTAGTTGTACTTTTTAAATGATTTATTTTAGTGACATTGCACAGTATGTCAGAAACAAATGCTCAGTAATCTTGTTTTAGCACCTTTCTCCTGCATGGGTTACTGGTAATATGGCCCCTGTTTTATACAGTGCTCCAATGCTGTTTGAATGCAGTGGAGAGTACTTTACAGAGGAAGGTCTATTTCAGTTAATCTGTGAGCGTGAAGTTCCTGTCAGCATGAGCTAAACCATGAACAGCCTGAGCCCAGTTTATGAAATCAGAAGATTTTATAGGAAAAAAAGGAAAGCTAAACTTCACATTATGATGATACATGGACACATCTGTACATAAAACCAATTACAAAGTCAATGTTCTGCTTGGCATATTTTTCAGCACTCCACAAACTGTAAAATGCTGCTGCTTTTTCATTTGTAAGATTTCCACAGTGTATGCTCATACAGTCCTTTGACTACTTAGAGGAAAAAATTTCATCTGAAAATAACTCATCTGAAATGTGGAAAGAACAGAGTTGGGTAGGTGGCATTGTTACAGGGCTGACATTATGGTGGCATGGGCTTTGACTCTTCATTTTACTGTGTTGTGGTTTCTCTCACAATTAGCCTTAGTTGTCTATTATCTGTTTCCTAATATTTTATACTAAGCCCTATATTATTTTCATTTTGATGAAATCACCAATACATAATTTAAAGCAATACCCACATTCAGAGGCATGCAAAACTCCTTGCAGAAGGTGAAGGCAGGAGCCTAGATACAAGTCCCCAGTGTGGGTCTATTTAGTAGATTTGCCTTTAAGTACAAATATTCCATCTCATCAATTTCTTGTCCCAAAGTCCAGCTTGTTTTCCTCTCTTTTGACTTTTTTCCTCCTCACCCATAGTTATTTGACCATGACAATTATTTTGGGATTCACTTAACAGGACAGACGCTACTACTACACGAGATTTGACTGTGCTGCATGGCATATATTTTTTATACCTTCCTGTATAGACAGTTTGCACAGAAAAGAGCCAATGCTGTACTAACCAGCTCAGCATACTTCTTAAACAACAGGTCCAGCTTCTCTTCTGGAGTACTCAGCTTATTCAAGCTTTGCATCAGTAGGGTGCCTTCTTTCCCTTCAAAATAGAAGAAAGAGATTTGATGGTAGAGGTAGTTTGTAGTTGATGTACTATTATGAAATTCGTTATTTGATGCATTGATCTGTAAAAACTCAGGAAGAAATGAGGCATTTTGGAAGGAAAGGAAAATTTTTGCTATGAACTTCAGGGGTTTTTTCCTCTCCCCATAAGAATAAAGATGGTAGAATTTTCCTCCATTTCAGATCTCAATAACGTGTTCTCTTGCAGCAAAAGCATTGTATGTGAAACGCTTTTGTCCTGTGTAATCTGATTTTCATTTGATGGTTTTGCAACATGACTAGGTCACATACATGTCACATTTGGCTGAAATAGGACAGAAAGGGCCTTGACCCTGAAGGTCCAGAAACAGATCTTTTTGCAGGTGAAAGCAGATAAAAGCTGGTGTACTCAGCTCCTTTGCTGCTCAACCTGCACAAGGTATAAGGACGATCAAGTTAGTTATAGTGTGGATGGAAACAGAGTGGTAGGTACTGCCAGCCAAGTCTGGGCTGGCTACATTATGCCAGTGTAAATCAGCTCCCTGAATTGGTGAAGAGAGCATGTATGCCAGAGACAGTCTAAAACAATCTGAGTGTGCATAGTTAAATCACTGCATACCCATTTAGGTATTGCTTCTCCTCTGACACCTCTTGGTATTCATTTCAGCCCCGAGTATGAGCTGGAGCTTGAACACTGATTGCTCATCAAATACAAAGTGTTCCTGGGGTCCCTACAGATAAGGCTGGCTGTGCTGCCAGGGGCTTGGATGTATTTTTCCAAGTGCCCCTCTTTGCTAAGGCTGTGAGACAAAATTTGCTTTCTGCTTTAGGCTGGATTTTTCTGCTTCAAGTTTCATACCTCAAGTACTGTCTGTGGAGAAAATCCATTATTTCACATTAAGTCCTCTCTACAGCATCATTATAAATAAGTTGAAGAGAGCTAAAATCAAATCCTGGTGTCAAATCTGTTGCAAGTGCAGCTGGAGAACTGTGTGTTGGTAGAGTTTTCACAGATCTTGGTGAGGTACTAATAACTGCACCAAAGTCAAGGCAATAGAAACTGAGGAACACTCATTCTCCCAAAGAATCGGGAGGAAAAAATCCATGCTCTGTCCTATGCTTAGTCCCTTGCCATGATTTCTCTCTAGGCTTAGTCTGCAGTTGGGTTTGGGTTCTCATGCAGAGGAGAGGCTTGAAAATTTGCCTGAGCTAAATGTAGAAAGGGAAACAAATTACGTTTATTAGATTGGAATGTAACTACATTGCTCTCTAGCGGCTGCCCAGCAGAAAGGACTTGCTATACAAAATCTCACTGAGACTTCTTTCTAGCTCAGCTAACAGCCCTGCCAGGGCTGAGGTGTTCTCTAAGCAGTGTGCGTTGAGAGAAGAAACGTATTGGCTTATTTCATAGAGTCCATGATGAATCCAGAGGTTTGCTAAATGAAAAATAACCTGGGTATGACAGTGAATTTGTTCTGCAGGTTCCCATGCTACATAGTAGCACCATTACTCACTGTTGTGACCTGAGGAAATGAAAAAATGTACTGAGGTACGAACAAGAGTCTGGCCTTTCCTTTGTCTAAGAAGTTACTTTGTGCAGTGTGTCATTGGACAGAATGCTTTGGCTAACCAGTTAGAGTGCATCAGATTTGTCCGATACAATCCTAAGTTTTTGTCTTTTTAATAGGACCAATACCACCTTATGTTGGGTAATGCCAAAAATAATTATCAATTAGAGAAAAGTTGTAATGGTCACCATAATTTTCAGTTGTAACTGGAGATCCCTATCATTCACGATAGAAACTTAGCATGAGAAAGAGTAACAGCCAGGGAGTTCTTACTTGTGTTTGCAGAAGGGCTGTGTAAGTATGTAAATACTTGCCTAGTCCTTTCAGGATTTTCTTCTCCAGCTTTTGCTCCTTGCTGCCGCTGGGCTCCTTTGCTCTGGAAGCATCCCCAGGAGCCAGCTTCTCTTTCTCACTCTCCTCATTTGCATCTTCATACTCTGCATCCTCCAAGTTACCTGGCTCTCCCTTCTCAGGCTTGTCAGTTCCTGTAGCAGCACTTTCCTTCTCCATCAGGCTCATGGCAGACCCATAGGTTTTAATGATGTCCTCCAGCTGCCGACTCAACTCCTCCGAGATGTCACACATGGCTGCTTCGGGCCAGGCTCTCGGCTGCTCCATGGGGCCTGGAGCAGGGGCAGGTTTGTCCCCACTCTGCCCCTGGATGTCCTGCCCAGGTGAGGTGGGAGAGGGGTCATTCTCCATGCTTGGTGCAGTACCTGACAGCAAACAAATGGAGGGTTAATTTAAAAGCACACAGAATTAGTTATCAAACCGTTCCCAAAGCTTGGTCAGCATGTGAGTGATTTTGTGTGAAATTTGGGATGGCAGCTCATCCAATGGCTATGGCTTGATAAATGTATCACACTTAAATAAATAACCAAGGTGATTTGCCTGCAAGGAGAAAAGTAAATGACATATTTTCCAAGAGAAAAGCCTACGCAAATCTAACACTTAAAAATCAAACCCTCCTATTCCCATTGCCAGCGATGACACATGAAATGACACCTGAGTCATTGATGTAATTTTTCTCCCTTAACATGCTATTTGTCACATGTTTATTTTTCTTGATCTATTTACCTGCAATGCTGGCTACCAATATGGGCATCTTACTTCAGAGCTGCATCAGTTTCATTTCCTATTTCTCCTCTGTTGGCACATCTTAAGTCAATAATCACAAAGAATATTTTAAATGAAACTGCTGCACTGAAAATTGTGCTGTGCCCTTGGAAAGCCCAGCATGATGCTAGATCTACAAGAGACCTGGGTTGGTACTGTCACAATAACAGCAAAGAATAAGATAAACAGCTCCTATCCACCCTTCTCTTGTACTTGCTGCATGCTGCTGTCAGCTTGTTTGACAAAGTACAAAATACAAAGCACAAAATAAATCACAGTGAAATAAAACCAACCAGACATAACATAGTTTGATAGTCCGTGGTGTTTTCTGGGGCCAATTTCAGCTAATTTATTCCCAGTTTGCAAAGGGAAGCTTTTGTTTTCTCATGTCTTTTAGCAGCTGCACTCAGCCAGGAAAATACAGAGACCCATTGTACCTGTGTTCCTTGAGAGCCTGCTCCAACTTAGCCAGGACCTGGCAATGAGGATGTCAGCAAAAGCATCCCAGGCACCTGCTCCCAGCTCCTGCAAGGTGTTGCCAGCAGAAGCTGCATGTGGCTGGAAAACTCAGTGTAGAGAAGGCTCCTTTCTTCTCAGAGAGCCAGCAGAGCTGCTGGCACCTCTGTGTTGCCCTCACAGAGTAGTGCCCCTGCTTCTGCTTAACTACAGCCTCTGTATGCTTTCCAGCTATGAGTCCCTTCTCTCTCTTTTTTTCAGGCTGATTTTTGTTCCTCCCTTTAATGATATGATTTGCAATGGTGCCAGTGGGGAAGGAAGAGAGGGAGAAGCTTGCTTGCTTGGTTCTGGTCCAGCATCTGAGGCAGTTGCTTTCTTACTTTTTAAAAGACAATTTGCTTTGAAAACATAGAGCTAACTGGGAAGCATTTTATTCCCTGTTCATACAGGCCATAATGTGTGTCTTCTATAGTGTCTAAATTTCTACAGCTTTCAAAATTGTAAACTAACATGGTCAAAGGCAGTATATGATAAGAGAGATGTTATTTACTGTACTAAATGACTCGGCATTTGTTATTAAACTCTTCCCAAAGGGATGTTTGAAAGTGTGGTGAATGGCCATAGCTAAGGCGTTGTTTTTCAAGGTTTGATTTTCTAGCTATATGACTGGGTTTGCAGATAAGATAGTCAAATGAGTTATCATCTCTCAAGCAGATAATTGAAAGCTTTGAGTGGGGATCAGGATGTGCTTGAAAACTGTTAGCTATAAATCCATGCCCCTGCAATCCTCCCACAGGTACAACTCGCAGAAATGGCTTGGCAAGGCATATGGACCTCATCTCACAGATCCTGTCAGACAGTCTCATCCCATTCTTTCCTTCCTCCTTGTGGCATGGTCACATATCACTGCAAAATGATTGTAACACTGTATCTGTCTGATTTGATGTCATAGTGAGTTTAATTTATACGGAAAGATTAGACCCTATATGTGCAATTTAGGTAAATAATTCCAGACAGCATGAATGAAGCCTGCAGTTTGTGATCTTTATTTAACTAGAGTTAATTGCCAATTAATTCAAGGTCAGTAGGAGTATTGTAAATACTAAGCTAGAAGCTCCACAGAATATGTGCTTATCTCTGACATGTTCAGGCTAGTGTTTACAACTATAATCATTAATTTGAGCTAATTGGCAGTTGGCAGTCAATCAGCTAGAAAACCCAGGATCATCAGCTCTTGTTTAGGCAGAACAAAACTCTCACAAAGTAGATCCCCAATTTAAACTAACTATTTTTGTAATATGTTCATCACAGAAGGAGAACAGGATTGCAAAATGCTCCATTTCCAAATATGACTTTCACTTCCATTCCACTTCTCATCTCACCCTCTTTGTAAGAAGGCACAAGTTGATGCTCTCACTGCACCCCAACTGCTGCCTCCCAACTCCCAACTTCATTGCTCATGGAGCAACACCATCTGGCTAATGGTTTCCTCCTACATGAATCACAAGCATGCCTGCAAATACAATAGGCTTTAAATCAACAGTTGTGCTTGATCTATACAAGGTGTTTCTTACTAATAAGGTAAAAACATGGGGGAATGAAAGAGAAAATGCATGCTTACAATCAAGGACACAGGATGTTTACAAGTTGACCTTGCAGGAAATCTTCCCTAACATACATTCCTGGTTAGAAATGGATTTCTAAAAAGCAGTTTGTAGTTGCTGAGGTTCTGTCCACCAACCCAGAACAGTGAGCAGGCAGGAACCCCAGAAATACCCCGTGATGAACTTTTAACCCAAGGGTGCTCAGCTGCTGGGTCATACCAAGGACTGTATTTACACACAAAATGTTTTATTTCATTCTTCTTCAGGCTAAATCAGAGATCTGATAACTGCTTTCCAGCACAAAAACAATGCCTGTGTATACTTTTGTACCTTATTTTGCACAACAGCTTCCACAGCATCATGGATTTTATGTTGAGGGAGACAGGGCAGTTCTCATCTGCTGAGAGATGCCTGCTTGCAGTCTTTGATGCTGGGAGATTTTACTGCAGTTGGCCCCAGTTCTCCTCATGCTCCAGCCTGTTTAACCTTGATGTACATAAGGAATTCTTCCTTCTCAGGCCATAAAAGACTTTTGGTGTCAGTTTCAGCAAGACCCAAAGTGTTTAGATTATACACTATCTTAGACACATTAATGCCTAAAAATTAGGTTACTGAGTCCAGAAGAGGAATTCCTTCATTTCTCAGACTTGCCCAATTTTTGACTATCCACCTCTTGAGTTTTGCAATTCCTGCTACCATTACTGTTGCCTCCAGGCACCTGAATTTTGAACACAATCTCATCCTATTTTATGGGGAGGACTGACCAGTTATCTGACTGAGTAGGAGCATTGTATCTTGTTTACTCTTTTCTTCCTGCATTCCCAAATACTGGACCTGTTCCATAGCTGTGAGATCAGCACCTTTCTTGGCCCTGGTGTTTTGGATGGAAACTTGATCCTAGACACTTGTGGTTGCTGCCTACAGAGAATCACTATGGTCCTCTTCTCCAGATGGAAACACCCCCAAGAGCCAGAGTGCTGCTGCCTCCCCACTGTGAGAAAAGCTCTTCTCCATTCTTCTCCTTCCTCTATTAAGAACTTGAGATAACTCAGGAGAGCAATGGAGCTCTTAGCATAGCTGAGCACACAGTGTAGCCACCGCTACACCCAGAGGCAACAGCAAAAGGTGTGCTGCTCAGATCAGTCTGGTTACATGCTGAGGTTGTTTGTCTCTGACCACATCCTTTAGCATTTCACATTTACAGCACAATTTGCCTTTGCTCTGCTTTGTAAACAGCCAGTATTTCCAAAGCAAAAGGTCAGTCAGCAAGGGCAGATGACTGATTTAGCAGAGCTGCAATAGCCATCCCTCTGCTGCTGGGAAAACTGTTCTCATGCTGGGCTGCATCAGCCCACCTTGTGCACTGCTGGAGCCAACACTGCTGGCCAGATACTCTACTGCCATGAATAAAACACAAATTAAATGTCTCCTTAGCTTCTCTTACAAGCTGTCTTGAAGACTGTCCCAGAGTTTTGTTTAGCTTTTTTAACAGAGTGCTTCCCCTTCCTTCTAATGGGATTTGCTTCATCCTTTCCTTCTTGCAGCTTGAACTTCTAGAGGGTTTACAACTAGTCTATATTTAACTTTTGCCTCTCCATGTATCCAGCAGAAGGACACACGGCACCTGCTCTGCAGCCAGGAGCTATTTTAAGCACTTCTAAAATGGGTAATGGTATTTAGCACTTCAAGCCCAAAATTCACATACACATACAATTCTCTAAAACAAAGCTTTCCATATACCTGCACCAGCCACTACATGCTGATAAAAATCTAAATTTTTGTCCTGATGTAACAACAGATTGCGCTATAGAAACACCTCAACATTAAACTCTGGACTGCCCCATGTTACTCGTAGACCCAGTTACTCTCCAGAAAATACAAGTACCTTCTTATAGCCTAAACACTGCAGTGATAAAACCAGCTATATCAACTACACGCTACATTTGAAAAGTTTTATGATTTATGCACAATTTTCTAGTACAAAACAGAACAAAAGTTTGGAGGTTTCATGGCAGGTTTCTATAAAGGCTCAGAACCAGACCCAGAGACTTTCTGAAGTCCCCTGCCTCACCTCCCACAAGGCTCTTGAGTCTTGATCCCTTGTTGTAGCAAGTTGTCATTGCTACCTTGTTGTAGCAAACCAGCCATGGCCCCTAGTCTCACTTCAAGACAAGCTCTGCCAAAGCAATCTCACATTTTTTGATGACTCTTAAGAGAAGCACTTCTTACTTTCACCAACAGCCTTAGATACTTGCCTGTTTTCCTCGACGTCACCAGTCAGGCTTTTAAGGTTATTTCTAGAAAATATGGACTGACAGTCCCAAAGGGAAGTATGTACAAAAGCCCTTGCGCCATGCCACCAAGCAGTGACAGCAAGAAAGCTGTTCATGAGACTTACCGGAGCAAAGAGAAGAGGTGAGCAGAGAAAAAAAGTCAGGCAGAAAGCTCAGACAAGGGCACGCCAGCAACAGGACACTGGTTCTGTAATCCTGCCACCAAGGGAAGAGGGATGGGAAGACCAAGTGA